ATATAGATCCATCAGTCTATAAGTGAGTTTATAACCAACAAGAAGGTTGTTGATCACCTAGATAAGAACAACCGCTTGAGCAACGAGTAGCACGGATTCCGATCGGCCCGATACACTGCTGATGTTCTAACTACCGTTACTCACAAAATCAGTGAAGCACTTGACAAATACACCCCAAGGACCATAGCATTAGTTATTCCGAAGGCCATTGACTAGGTGTGGCGCAAAGGATTGCTGCTCAAGTCCTTAACGGGTACGTCCCTGAAGGTAGTTAACTGTCTGTCCTCCCGGGCCCTAACAATCAACGCAGGCGTTCCCCAGGTGTCACTTCTTGGAACAAGCCTCTTTTTACTTTAAATAAATGATCTGCCTAGGATTATATTCTATGCCGATGATACAACGATATAAGGTGCATCTCCAAAGCTCATGATGACCAGAGATTGAAAGCTGATCTCTTACCCGATTTAGCGCTAACGTCTCAATGGGAGAAAACTGGCTGGTTACATTCAGTGCCTCGAAAACCAAATCGTTCGGATCCGGAACTATCACAAGTCACGATGAATGTATGTCCGCACAGGAAGTCACCGTGCCTTGAGTGACTATTGGGCCTTAAACTCACCCCAGACGACAAGTATAACTTAAACATACGACCATCGCTAAAAATGTAGGTAAAATTGTCGCTTCTTTGTACCGCTCCGGTAAGTACCTGATTACTCGTGCTAATCTTTAACTTTACAAGAGCCAGATCAGACATACAATGGAGTACTCCTGTCATATTTGGGCAGGTGCTGCCCAGTCCTCACTTCCCAGTCTTATAGAGTTCAAAAGAGTCTCCGTGTTATTGTAGGCGACAAATTATTTTCCACCATACAACTCCTTACAGACGAGATGCTGCAAGCCTCTCTGTCGCTACTTATATGGAAAGTACTTGGACGGACAGCACTCCTTGGTTCTACTACTTCTAACCTTCCGGCCAGAACCCGCAATACCACTCACATATTACAAAATCACCCTCGTTCCCTTCGTATTCCATTGGTGTGAAGTAAGTTCTACTCGAGCAGCTTCTTTTCCGCGAACCACTGTGGAGTCGACTCCCAAGAGGATGTTTCCCCGATCACTATAATCTTAACTAGTTCAAGTCTACGGTTAATCGTTATCTTCTTCACTTAGCAGCATAAACTGTGACTCTTATTCTTTAACCTTCTAACACGTGTGGCTCCCGGACTTTGTACAGGGTGAACCACACTGTAAAAGAAAACAGCCATTTTGGCTTTCAAAAAGTAGCCCCTCCCTCTTCTTGCTGACACCACAAACCAACTGGGTTTGGTGCTTCTTTCAAGTATTAACTATTTCCATCAACTTCTGGGCCATCCAGCGTTGTGCGACATACTGTATTTTCTGCAAATCAAATTTTATATTCTGTTTTGTACAATAGGCACATTTAACGATGATATTGAACTTTAAAAGCGAGCAAACCTTTGAACTGGTTCACGTTCGTAAACGCTACAGTATACAGCCTCGTGATATTTTAGGAACGTTGGAATCTCAATTCTTTACTGCTACAACCACTCCTGTATGCGACGCTGTAATATTACGGTCATATTTGGAATCCTAATGGCTTCAAATGTCTCTTTGTTGTTATTACTGCCCTTGTGTATAGTGTTGTGACATTTTAGACACATTTGGAAACACGATAGCTTTGAATGTCTGTTTATTGCTACAACTACACTTGTACAGATTTATTTAACTCCCCACTGAGTCAGGTTGTAATATAAAGTCAGTTTTTAACGTGGGAACCCGAGTGTTTTCAATTGGGCCGGTGGTTTGAGCTGGTCTTAACTGGTCATAGATTGTCCAAACTGGTCATAGCTCGTCTAAGCCAGTCATATCTAGTCATAGCTAGTCTTAGCTAGTCATAGTCTGTTCAAGCCGGTCAAAGCTCGTCCAAGCTGCGTCAGGGACGTATCCCTGTGCCAGGTAACTACACTAGCAGTGGCGATTCTGGAACTCTGAAAGTGAAGGGGCCATTTGGGGGCCAAGATTTTTCTGCGGAGGAGTGGAGCAAGTTCAAGCAGCGTCTTTTTTTTCATACTGCACCACTATCATATCACTATCAACCAAGGAATGAGTTTTAGTATAGGTATGTTACTTCATTAAATTAAAAAGAATAATTTTTCATTCATAGTAGTGGAGTTCTAATCTATTCTTGCCCTCTTTTCCACTCTCAAGCTGTTGGACGACAAGAGAGGTTAACTTCAAAACAAAATCAAAGGGTTAATACTAACGTCAATACTAGTAGAACAGTGTAATTTGCCTGTTTTGATTTTTTTCCTTTACAAAACTTAGAAAAGCGTGTGTGTGTGTGGGGGGGCAACATTCCCCCCCCCTTCCCCGTAGAATCGCCACTGTACATTTGTATGCAGCGTCGTGACATTTTAGGTACATTTTATTGTGGGAACATCACCATGAAAGTTTGGTCGAAAAGCGCGCTGCGCTCGTAAGTGTGAATAATTTTGTTCTCCATGACAACGTAAGGCCACATACAACAAGAACAATATAGAAAACAATTTCAAACTCGGTTGATCTTCTCTATCCTACTTATCATATTCGCCTGATCTTTCAACAACCGATTATTATCTTTTTAATCGTAGCAAAATGCTTTGATCTCAAAATCTTTCTTTAATGAAAGCCAGTTTCAAGAGTTCGTCAAAAGTTTTTTTCACATGAAAATCTGTGGGATTTTACGCAATGGATATCAAAGAGCTGCTTGATAAGGGGTAACCATCATTGCAAATAATAGTAAATATGTAATTAAATAAAATGCAATTGCACTTTGTCTTTTGAAGAATAAAGTGGATAAACAAAAAAGGAAATTATTCATGACTCAACCAATTAAATAGACATAGGTCCAGTTTATGCGGGAATGAAAAAAGTAGACGGTGGTACGGTTTATACCCGAGACTACAAGCATTTACTAGAAAGGTAGCTTTTTTTTTTTTTTTTTTTGTGGGGTTTAACCATCTGCAAAGGATGCTGTCAGAATATTATGACATTGTCACAACATCATATGTGGTTCGAATTAGTGTTCAATATTGACAGTTATTGTCTGTAGGATATTTATTGTATATAAAATACAATTAGGGCACAAGGCCAAAAGGGGAAGGGTTGAGGCTGGTCGTCACTAACTATCTTATACCTAGCTAATCTGATTCACGACCCATTCACACATTACAGTTTCCACATTCACCATAAGAATTCATTCGTCACCAATCAATCCTCCATCCACCATAATCCAGCATCCTCTCAAGGGGAAACCTACAAAAAGCGCCCCCATGCCTTAAAAAATTTAATGATAATATATATATATATATATATATATATATATATATATATATATAAAAAATTCTAATAATGAAGAATGAAAGGGGAGGGAGATCAACCCAATAATAAAACTAAAACTCAACACAAAGTAAACTAAACATAACTGATGTTAGTAGGGGCCGACCAACCCTCAAAACGGAGAGGCCGCTGTATTCTGCCCATTGGACAAAATCAAGAGGCTCTCTCACTAAGGGAGTGGGAAGGTGAAAGTATAGATGGACATGGGGAAAATATAAAGCTGACCCAGTCGAGATAAAAAGGGGCCAAAACAAACTGGGGAAGTCGGGAATCTCGACTTGAATCATAACCAAAGAGGCGGCCGGGAACAGGCCAGGAACAACACAAGGTGGGGGACTGTGTGTGTGTGGGGGGGCTGTCTCGGTTGCATCGCTGCGTTAGTCTCCACAGCTGTCTTCAGTCTAATTAATATACCAAAGTTGCACTTTCTCTGCGTTATATTTGGTGTGAGTTCGTTTCAAACATCCGCATTGTCACTGTTATGTTCCGTGCTAAGAGAATAAATACGTAACACCAGGTGGATACTAGAAGAAAGGTTTACTGTACACAAACAGTACAGTATAAAAATACGGTACAGTTATATACACAGGTCGATCTAGTAGTGAGTGCCACTAATTTGAAGGTTGGACGTGCTTGCGTCCTCTCGCTCTCACGCTTCCTCCTCGAGTCTCTCGTAGACGGTTGACTTTATAGGTACTTGCTACCTATAGTGTAATCGTTCATGGGGGCGACTTGTTATTCCAATACATGACTCTGTTTCTTTCTAAACGTTAAATCAGCCATCTTTTCACCAGGAGAAATCTTTTCGTGTAGCGTTAAACAGGAAAAAGTATATGGTCAGTATTAGCTACTTTTATTATTTTCTGTAGGGGGGGGGAGTTTTGCCGATTACTTCTCAGTGACGGAGAAGTTGTAGTGAGTTAGAGAAACTCCCCTGTTCTAGCATTGCAGAAACATACGCGATGCGATGAAGATTTTCACAAAAGAATTTTGGAGGAAGGAACGCCTTTCCTTTATCAGGAAATATTGCCTTCTCATTGATTGTTGATTCGGCTATTCACGGGCCAAATGAAAAAGCACCGGAACATCCTGATATTTTATTTTTTATTTATTTATTTTATTTATTTATTTATTTATTTTTATTTATTTTTATTTATTTTTTTATTTATTTATTTATTTTTTATTATTTTTTTATTTATTTTTATTTATTTTTTTATTTATTTATTTTTTTATTTATTTTATTTTTTATTTATTTTTTTTTTTTTCCTGATATTTTATTTTTTATTTATTTATTTTTTTTTGTCGATAGACCCTATGAAATATATTGTTGTTTCAGAAATATGATATATTTGGAATAAATAACCTGTGTGGCAGTCTCGTTTTAGTTGAAACCTTTCTTTCCCTAATCAATAACTTATTCTCCTCTATATCACACACACACACACACACACACACAATGTTACCGTATTCTAGGACCCACTGACAGGGAATTAAGTATAAATATATTTAGTCAATAAAATTATAAAAGTGTAACTTGCATAAAATGTTGGGACGCATTGTATATTTTGAAAGTACGTTAGCGATTAAAGAAATATACTTACTGTTGGGTTTAAGTGTTTAATGAACGAATTCATTCTTTTGACGTATGGTCGGATTTCAAAGTCATTATATCTACAATAGATAAGTGAATCGCTGCTGTCGACCTTTGGTTCGTATATCAATTCGGGAACTTTTATTTCAGATATTTGTGGTTCTTCCTCATGTCTTTTCCCGTTAAAAACATAGTTGAACAAGATCATGACACCAGCAGAGAAAAGTATAAGGAGTCCGAAGAAACAGACTAAAAATAACAAGAGCTTTCCCACTCTTTTGCACGTTTTAGCGGAACTCCGGCTGCTGCAAAGACCGTCATCACTATCCCACTCTTCGAGAATATTCTTGGAGGCGTCCTCGTCCATCTCTGCGAGTGTCACCATTTGTTGATCAAACTCTGCATTCTCTTTCATTTTCAGTGCGCCTCAGTCAGCGATATAAATTTAAACCGTCTTGAGATCTTACTTTATGCTTGGCCCAGTTGGAGTTACTGCGAGAAAAAGATAACGAGAGAGAAAAAGAGAAAAATGATAATTTCACAATATGTCGTTAATTTAACTTTTTAGAATATTTTTAAAATAAAGGAACAGTAACCCCCCCCCCAAAAAAAAAACTCCAAAAAACAAGAATAATAATCATATTTAATTCATTTCCGTTTCTTTTTTACTGGAGGCTTTTTGCTCATCATTCTAAATCCACTAGGTACGTAAGCGGATAGTTAGCATTTATAGAACATTTCCCAACTGATATAGGCTATATCTAGTACAAAAGTAGATAGACTCAGGGTTTTAGTAATGGTAGTCTATTCAATGTTCAAAAATTAAACATAGCTATACTGCAAATACGCTTGGGGAAGGTGTGAATCTATTGCTTCTTTAGCTGAAAACCATTATTATCTCCAAAAGCATTTTAAATACAATATTCAGTCGGAAAAATAAAAAGAATTCGTACAATTCCAGACATTATTTTTGTTGAAACTTGACTAATGCATGGAATAATAATGCAACACAAAATGTACTTAGAACAAAATGTATTGAAACAAGAAAGTGTACACAATATTTACATATAGTCTTTTGTATATTCCTGGTAAGACCGTTCCTGGAGAATGTGTTTACTGAGTCGCAGTCGGGCTGAGTCTCTGGTTGAATCTCTTGATTCCTCTCCTCGTCTTCCCACTATGCAAATTAGGTGGATCCTACCACAACAATTTTAACTTTAAATAACTTACAGAAGCCGCATCAAAAGCCATAAAATATATCAATCAAACTTTTGTCAAGCATTTAGTGTCCAAAAATTAAACTGTAGTATACTGGATGATTTCATACCCACTCACACGAGTAAAAACTATGTATATGTGACATAATAGGTATAGAGGTAGTGTAACTGTGGCAGCCATAGGACATGAACAGCATTTATTACTATTTAGTTATGGAATGATTGTTTGGGTCTTTGTTTGAGGTGGCAACTATGTTTTTCTTGCGTAACAGTATCAAGGGTACATGAGAATTATTTCAGTTCCAGACAGACTTCAGCAAAATGTGAAAACTGTAGGTAGCCACAAGTAATGTAAGAATGGGGTTGCTGGTAACTGATGTGGATGGTAACCACCTAACGAAGAACACTTCCCAATTTAATGCTGGTCTTGTTCTCTCTCTTCTTGTTCTTGTAACGGCATTCACGCCGGCTTCAATATTGGAGTTTCATGGGAATTTGGAATTCACAAGCGGCCCCCAACCCGCATGTATAGGCTTCTGATCAGTTCCCAGGAAACCAACGACAGCACATGAGATTTGATTATAGTGGTGAAGGTTTCGTGCAGGACCATCCACACTTTTTGAAGGCCCGATTACAGAGACCTGGTGCACTACGTGCCACAAGGTCCCCGAACGACCCTCCGCAGGTTTTGAATTCAGAGTTTTCCTTCTCCTAGACTAGTTGCCATCCAAGGCTATAGAACCCAGTCTGTCCTGCTAATTACCCATAGCTGGAGGGAGAAGAAGAGGATTCACACCTTTCCCAAGGGTATTAGCACGTAAGTGAATGTAATGGATTCGACTGGAATTCGAACTGCTCACTATTTCATGTGGCTTTGTTGACCAACAAGGTTGCCATATTTGATATCCCCTCTCTAGCCGCTGCACAGTGTGCTCCCAAGAAGACATTTGTGGAACATTTACAAACTGATGTGTGCTATATCTAGTCTGAAAGTAGACAGTTTTAGGATTTTATTGATGGTTAGGCAGTCTGTTATTTTTTTCTCACGTCTGAAACTTCTGGGTGGTGGATATTCTGCAAACCACGTATTTATTATTATTTTCCAAATCCCCTTTCCTCAATATATGCCACATAAATTTCAACTGTCTCTTCCTGATGTTAAGTATAAATTTCCATTGTTTTCCATTTTCTCTAAAACTTCGTCGTTTCTCACGTGTTAGTTCCATGGTGTCCTCAGCATCCGTCTGTAGAACCAAATTTCCATCTCTTCTTCATCTGCGACGAGATTGCCCGGCATGTTCTGCCATAGAGAAGAACTGATATTACATAACAGTTCAGTACTCTTTTCTTTGTTTTTAACGACATTTTTGTTTCTTAATGCTTATGTCCAGACAAACTACAATATGGTCCGAATGTCTTGTCACCCTAACCCTTTCTTCTAAACTGTAGAAGCTCGTGTCAGCCATCTGAAATAGAAAATAATATTATTTCGGTGTGACAAGACTTTCGGACCAGCCTGTACCAGTTCGGACATTTACAGCTGGGAACCGCCATGCCACTTAAACAGAGCTAACTCATCCGAATTCTTTTCGTATTCCATTGGTAAAGAGGAAGTTCCATTCAGACAGCTTCTTCTCCGGAACCGTAACCACCCACCAAAAAAAAAGATTTCCACAATGACGACGATCTTAAAGACAACTATTATCTATATAACATATCCTCATATATGAACTTTGAATATTAACTTTTTCCTGCCATCTTTTAAGCTCTTACAATAGCCTCATTCAGTAGCCCTAAAAAATTTAGTGGCTTTTGGGTCTTGTATTGTGTGAACAATACAATATTTGGTGAACAATAGCTTCATTCAGTAGCCATATAACATTTAGTGGCTCTTGTATCTTGTTTTGCGTGAACAATACAATATTGAGTAAACAATAGCCTCATTCAGTAGCCCTATAAAATTTAGTGGCTCTTGGATCTTGTATTGGGTGAACAATACAGTATTTGGTGAACAATAGCCTCATTCAGTAGACCTATAACATTTAGTGGCTCTTGGATCTTTTTGGGAGTGAACAATAGCCTCATTCAGTAGCCCTATAAAATTTAGTGGCTCTTGGATCTTGTATTGGGTAAACAATACAGTATTTGGTGAACAATAGCCTCATTCAGCAGCCCTATAAAATTTAGTGGCTCTTGGATCTTGTATTGGGTAAACAATACAGTATTTGGTGAACAATAGCTTCATTCAGTAGCCATATAACATTTAGTGGCTCTTGTATCTTGTTTTGGGTGAACAATACAATATTGGGTAAACAATAGCCTCATTCAGCAGCCCTATAAAATTTAGTGGCTCTTGGATCTTGTATTGGGTAAACAATACAATATTTGGTGAACAATATCCTCATTCAGTAGCCATATAAAATTTAGTGGCTCTTGGATCTTGTATTATGTTAACAATACAGTATTTGGTGAACAATAGCCTCATTCAGTAGCCCTATAACATTTAGTGGCTCTTGGATCTTTTTGGGGGTGAACAATAGCCTCATTTAATAGCCCTATAAAATTTAGTGGCTCTTGGATTTTGTATTGGGTGAACAATACAGTATTTGGTGAACAATAGCCTCATTCAGTAGCCGTATAAAATTTAGTGGCTCTTGGATCTTGTATTGGGTGAACAATACAATATTTGGTGAACAATAGCCTCATTCAGTAGCCCTATAAAATTTAGTGGCTCTTGGATCTTGTATTGGGTGAACAATCCAGTATTTGGTGAGCAATAGCCTCATTCAGTAGCTCTATAACATTTAGTGGCTTTTGGATCTTTTTTGGGGTGAACAATACAGTATTTGGTGAACAATAGCCTCATTCAGTAGCCCTATAATATTTAGTGGCTCTTGGATCTTGTATTGGGTAAACAATACAGTATTTGGTGAACAATAGCCTCATTTAGTACCCTTATAGCATTTAATGGCTGTTGGATCATGTATTAGATGAACAATAATATAAGAATGAGAAAGGTTCTGATTCTAAAATGACCGATGAGTCCACAACCCCCAGTCCTATTTCAATATCCACAAATCAAGTTACTCCTAAATGCTTATCAATTTCCACTGACCAGCCATTTGATCACCAATCAAGTATAGAAAAAATTGATGGGTTTTTATTGTAATAGAGATCCAATTTATAAATGGCAACGAGAAGTAATAATGTACCTGCATCATTTTACAGAGATATAGAGAAAATTTATATTCAAAATTTAATATGATGATAACATATGCAAAACTTAAGTTTTTCTTTCATATTTCTGCCATTGCGAAAGTGACTTTTTTAAGACCCTGATTGCTTCAATCATACGACGGGGCTGTGGTGGTGGTGGTGGTGGTGGTGGTGGTTGGGGGGTTAGACCTTCTGGCAGAAGAAACAGATTGATTCTTCTTCCTGATGATCTTTTCAGTGCACTTTCACAATACCTGGAGGCATGAATCTCCTCTCCAATCTCTTGACCGACAGCCGATGGGTTGCCCTCGGTCCGTACAATAGGCCCCCAAGTTTTTAATTCAGGGTTGTCCTATTTCTAGACAGGTTACCACCCAAGGCTACAGGACCCAGTCTGTCCTATTTACTCCTAGCTGGGACAGGAGAGTTAGATTCATGCATTTCCCAAGGGTATTAGCACATAAGTGAATGTAATAAACTCGACTGGAATTTGAACTCGGCTCTCCGATTCGTCAAGCCTCACTTTCGAGCCATGACAAAAATTCAAAAACCTTTACACGCCCTTGTGGGTTGTGAGTTAGTTTCCATCTCTACGATCCCTAACTCACAGATAAAACATTGCTAGTCTCTCACTAACCTAAAATAATCTTATATTGGTGATAAAATTTAATTTTTCATGAGTAATTTTTGTTTTTCTTTCTAGAATTTTTTTTTTAATGTATGGTAAATTTTAGTTTAGTTTACCGCTAAAAAATATAAAATAGGAGCAAACTTGATATTTATACTACAAAATTAATGAAAAATCATTTAAGAACATTGTTATGAAAAGTTAGTGTTATAATGAAATTTAATAAATTTAATCTGATACTTTTAAATATTGGAATCGACTAAACGAGGTGTCAGTTATGTGCCATGCGTGATACACGCTTAGGCGATCATGTATCTTTCGATACATGACTGGCGAGGCAAATATTTTCTCGTAGTAGATTGCCATTTCTTTGTGTGGTAGACCAGTTGCCATCCAGAGCTATGGAACCCGGTCTGCCCTGCTGTTTACCCATTGGAGTAAAAAGGGGGAGAAGAAGAGGATTCATACCTTTCCCAAGGTTATTAGCACGTAAGTAGATGCAATGGATGCGAATGGAACTCGAACTCGGCTCTTCTCCTCCTCCAGCTATGGGTAAATAGTAGGGCAGACTGGGTTCTATAGCCTTGTGTGGCATCTGGTCTAGGAAAAGGATAACTCCGACTTAAAAATCTGAGGGCCTAGTGTACGGACCGAGGAAAACCCACACCATATCCCGTGGTGTGTCAGACAATTTCTGCAACTATATCATCTCCTTACATCTGGCCACCTAACTCTCCAGACTGCAACCCCCTTAATTATTATGTGTGGGGCACAGTTGAGCGAGAGACCAACAAAACTCCTTGTAACACCAATTGTGCAATTTTGGTAAATATATCTGTTAAAATGAAATGTCAGTGTTACTTTCATTTTTGCGTAATTTAGACGAAAATTTATCCATCGTACCATATATATATATATATATATATATATATATATATATATATATAAAAGTATATGATTGGTGTATACGGAATAAATTCCAATAACCAACAATTACTATTCTTAAAAGAGTGCTCAATACAGGTTAGAGCGAATATAATTATTTATTTAAAAATTATAACATAAATATGTTATAAAATCACTACAAAAGTAGCCATTTTGTTTCGGAACCTCTGGTGTCTTATCAAGTGATGATGTTGAATGTAGATTTTATAACATGTTATAATTTTTAAATAAATAATTATATATATATATATATATATATATATATATATAATCAGGGCCAGTGCAAGGGTCGCATGCCCACCCAAGATATCTAATTCTATGATACGGGATACCCCACTCTACTCTTTCAATTAGTATTCATATAAAATACAAATTTTATTTTAACCTAATTATGTAAGGTGATTGATCATATGCAATATAGGTGAATAATTCAACTAGAAAATCTGGAAAAAATTACAATGTATCTAAAATAAATACAAATTAGAGAGGTATCACAGTAGATCATTCCATCAGAAATAAATCACCAGTGTTTTTTTGCGGCAATTTTAAAAATCAACTGGAGATTTTTTTTAAGTGGAAGAATTTTCACACATTCAACCTTCAACCTTATGGATAAAAAATAGTGAATTTTATATAGCATTTTTTCAAGACTTAGCATGAGTAAAATAGATTCACGGATTTGCCCGAAAACAAAAAACAAACAAAAAAAACAAAAAAAACAAAAACAAAAACAAAACAAAACAAAACAAAACAGAATGACGTCAGAATCCGCGAAAACTTTTCATCCTTTAATAGTCAATTGTGCTTAGTTTAATTTGTAACATATATAAATGTAGGTTAAAAGAAAAAAGAAGCAAATGTTGATAAGATAGTGATGTTCACAAAGCACAGCCCGTGGTCCCCAAAACAACAAACTTGCCGCCCCGGTCATTGTTATTTACAAGACGAAGTGAAGACAAAAAAACATTCGCAAAGAAAATATGAAAATTCTTACCTCAAATATAAGTCATATATTCCAATATAAAGTCTGTTCTCGTCGTTGAAACCAGCAAGAAGGATGTAAATATGAAAATAATTACAAATAAAATATTCTGTTCATAGAATTTCCACTAGTTAAAGGCGGAATATGAAAGTGGTGCCTGATTGCAATAAAAACTATGTTAATTTGTGACAGATTTTTTTCAAATGGATTTATTGCAGTTAGAAAATGTCGCTAAATTAAACACTCTCATTGGTACAATTATAGATTAAGCTATTTACCCGCGTATTACAAAGGCCCGTTGAAAATATCACGTCCTCAAATGACCAATTTCTATTCTTTTTTACTTCTACTAATCGCCGAATAAAATTAGTAGTTTGATTATGTATATAACGACTCGATTACAGCAGGACTTTAAAGAGGCTTGATATTTTCAGGATAAGTTGTGGATAGATTGTGAGTTCTTCACCCACCAAAAAAATCATTTCAATAAACATTCTGTTGTGATGTGTTGGAACGTATTCAGAGGTATTTAGTTGTTGCTTCATCACTTGAGGACTTTCAACAGCAGCAACAACTAAAATGAATAGCACATGTAACTCAAAGAGATAATGATGACACTAACTCAAATAAAAAGGTTTTACGGCCATATCACGATGAAACATCGGTTCCTGTACGATCACCGACGTTAAGCATCGTCGAGCCTGATGGGTATCTAGATGGGTGACCGCTTGGTGCTGTATGTGGGTTGTGTAATGGATAATGACGCGGAATTGTTAATCGGAGAGCCGAGTTCCAATTCCTGTCAGGTTCGTTATATTCACGAGCAAATATTTTCGGGACAGTTGTGAATCCAGCTCTTCTCCCCCCAAGCTATGGGTCAATTAGTAAGACGTGTATCACTAAACCCTTGTTATGTTCAAAACTAAAATAAATTGAGCACAAAAATATTTATATTTTGGCATTAAATAAGTCATACAGGTGTCGATATGCCGCTAAAAAATCAAACAAAAAGGCAAGAAAGGAAAACCCCATAAATACTGGAACAAGCATTAACAGTTAAAGGACCTGAAAAACCTATTTTATTAAAAATTGTTTCAAGCGGTAGCGTACAGAAGATGGTGGGCAGTGGATGTGATGAACCTGGGCATCATTATTGGGAGGTCATTCAATCAAAGCCTGAAAAATAATTCTTGAAAACAGGGCATACACTAGGCAAATTTTATAGACTTAGGAAGGATTTCTCCTTTAGATAGCGGTTAAATAATTTTGCCAAGATAAGAGATGACTCAGGGCTAATGTTCTTAAGGACAACCACTGGGGTTTTATCTGGATCGGTAGCCTTCTTCAAGGCTTTTGCTAAGTCTAGAGAATTCCCGGGACGTGATAGTTCCTACGTTTGTGATCTGTGAGAGGCGGGAAAGTCGAGAAGGAGATGACTCTTGTCGTATAACGTAAACCTCACGTCTATTTGAAAACACAGCAGAAATTGGTACAGCAGGGTGGAGTATGATAACCCCACCCGGAGTACTCTTTTAACCTTCGGATTGACACTTATTTCGATACATACAAAATTATCTTAAATGGAAATAATTAAAAATTTCAATTCTTTGGAAGCATGTAAAAACAACTTAGACTAGTTCATCACGCATAAAGAAGCCAAGTTCTGCGAGGATGGAATCATGAAGCTGCCTCAGTGATGTTGGAATTTAGTGGAACAAAATAGCACATACGTAGTTGAATAAATCTATGTACAAGTATTTTAAAATTGTCTTTGAAATTCAGGAACTTTTTTCCGACCGAATGTATAGCAGGTCAGCTGGGGCACTTCAATGTGATGTAATGGTTAGCAAGCTTCTGTCGCTAAATCAATTACGACCGAGTCATACTGAAAAAAAAAATGTATATTCATACAAAATGTTGGGGACGGGCTTGTTTGGTCAGGTCGGTTGATTGACTGATTGATTGATTTTTACGGCTTATCAACCCTTTGCGGGTTTCTGTTTATATTTCTGAGATGAGGTATTGTAATTATTTACATTGTTCGGACTGTTGTCCTCATCTTTATTGCTATATTCACAATGTTTCGGCGGTTGTACACTCCGGCCTTATTCAAAGTGATTGGAATTTCGAACTGAACCCTTTATTTCATCCACCAGGATAGATTGTTCTAGTTCCACGTGCCATGCCATTTTCGGATGTCCCAGTTATCTCCTTTTTAACTTGCCAAGTTTTTTGTTCACCACTGCAGTAACCAGGTATTGAACTCACAACTCTTTGGGTGAAGTCACTGGATCCAACCAACGCTTTTAACCACTGGCCTTGTGTCCTTGAGAACAGTTTTTGCTCATCACTGCAGTAGCCAGGCATTGGACTCACAACTCTTTGAAGTTAAAGGGAGATAACTGAGACATCCGGAATAGGCATGGCCCGTGGATCTAGAACAATCTACCTCGTTGAATGAAATAAAGGGTTCAGTTCGAAATTCCAATTACTCTTGCGGGTTATTTAAAACCGAAACATATTTTGGATTGTCAGAATGATAATATTTTTTTTCGGATGAATATTGTATTTAGAATTTGTATTTTTTGAGAATAAGAATGATTTTTCCAGATACAAGTCCTACTATTTAATCCATAGATGGGAGAGGAGATGGATTCATACATTTCCCAAGGGTATTTGCGCGTAAGTTAAATGAAACGAACTCGACTGGAATTCAAACTAGGTGGTAAGGTCGAGAACTTTTCACGTTGCCAATATATTTAAGATTTTAGACAGTTCTATTTTACAAGTAAATACAATAGTAAAGTGGACCTTCATTTTTTCCGTGCTTTCCTTTGAGTGAGACATTAATTCATCTTTTCTTCCACTCATAGGTATGTGTTAAATGGCAAGCCGGACTGTGGTCTCTAGCCTTGGTTATTAACCAGTTTATGATGTAATGAAATGGAGATGCCAATGAAATAGCAACACGAGACTTGAATCTTCATTACTTAACATTTTATTCCCTCCAATGTATTTCGTCAATTACTCTCAGTTCGTTTGTGGCATGTGGACCTTACCTTCTCTGTCTGTGATATGCGAAAGACTGCTCCGAAACACCTGTGGCGGTTGTTGATATTGTAGAATTTTAGATAGAACTCTCTATCTAGCGAGCAGATAAGGTGAGGTGAGTTAATGTCCTTTAGACAATAAAGACAATTAAGATGAATTGGGGCCCTTGATACAGAGTCAGTTTGATCCTGGGAAGTGGCCGTACACGCGTTGCGACCGGCGTCTCGACTCACACCATGGCGAACGTAATTGACAACCTCACCTCGCATACCTCAAAGGCAGTATACTTACCAAGTGTAAACGTCATCTATCGTAAGTACAATTTTTACGTTTATGCTATGTTGTATTGTAGTTTTACATTGTTGCATGTAATAAAAAGTGGTAAAAATATTTTGGCGCTCTTCTTTTCATTTTCCCTTTATAGAACCTCGTATTTATTCTTGTTTTGACGCTCCTTGAAGTAGGGAGGCGTTGTAAAATAGCACCACCCTTTAACAATATCATTATCTGTCCAACATTCTCGTTCTCACGCTTGGAATACGGTATGCATATGTGAGGTTACGTATTCGGCGGCTTATACTGACTCTAAGTCAACCCACTGGAGCACCCGTCTTCCTTGATGTCTGGTGTGACATTGAGTATAATGTCTATACTGGCATAATACGGCAAAAAGAATAACTACTTTGGATTCAAAATAAAGCAAAGAAAAAAAGAAGAAAACGAAACACAAAAACAGAAACGTGTTCCTTTTTTTCTGAAAGGATCAAATAAAAGATATAGACCCAAGAATCTATCCGGGTATCACGAGTTGTGTGCCCTTGTCTTATTGTTGCATTATTTGGTAATAAATGGTTAAAAAGCCCAACAGACGTGTCCCGTGTCGTGAGTGAGAAAGCCCTAAATGAACAACCCCAACTAAAAAGATAAAACATGGTGTCAGAAGTGGCTAGAACAGATATGGGCAACCTTTTTCGAACACGAGGAACGGATGAGATACAGTACATCATAAAGTCAGCAGCCCTACTAAATAAGGTATTTTTTTTTTATTAAAGATACCACAGCCATTTACTCAATAAAAGCATCAGCCTTATAAAAGGTTGATTTTTTTTTCTTTGGAGAAAAGATTCTTTGTATAATTAAAAAAAAAAATTGAAATCCTGGTATAATAATATTATACCAGGATTTCAATTTTTTTTTAATTATAAATTAGATTTCTACATTCTCTGTTTTAAACCTGTTAAAAGCGGATCATAGCTAAATATTCTCAGTTTGTGCTGAAACCATTAAAATCGGCTCCAGAGTTCAGTACGAAACAATGCTTGCTGATTGGTCCATAAATAATAATGTCATGCTTCTGCCCACGTCCGCACGCTTGACCTCGAGTTGACCTGTTCAGAGTTCAACGCACCAAAAATTGGTAAACATTCTCCCGAGCCTCCCACGTGATCTAGAAAACTCATACATATGAAACTTCGACTTTAGTCAGTAAGTCCTTAAAATAATCAACTCGTCACACGAATCCATGAAACCCAACTTCCTTGATAAAAGTTAATTTTTATTAACATCAATCCGGCTTGTTGAATTCAATTTCTTTTCAACATCAACTCAATATCTAACAACATAAAGGAAATCGTAACTATATCAGTAGAAGAGAGACAACTCTGCAGTAAGTCAAACAATCTATTTCATTCAATTTCACTATCAACGTAAACTGTTTAATTTGTTAACAGAGCTATAGCATAACATCTATTATATTACCCTTGATTATACAACCAAGAACTCTAAAGTGTTTCAAACAACTTCATTATATTGTGTGAACTTGTTATATAAAAATATTTTCTGTTAAAACAAATATCTGCCTATTTGATTGTTTCTCTTGTTGTTGTCTTTGTTGCATTTGATTTAATAAAAAATAGTAGAGGGTCAGTTTAATTTGTATTTTGTCACCGATACAGATTGGCTAACCCACTACACACTGACGACAGCGTGATTACGCACATTACTGCATGTGATTTGTTCCTAAATTATTCATTTGTTTAGACAAAAATATTTATAAAAGAAAAATAATTATCGTTGACGTTTTCTGTTTCTGAAGTAAAAGATATTTACACGTATGATCTTCCGTAGCAAAAATCTCAAGCGGTTTACAATGCGGACAAAGTTACCCTCAACGAAATGTTTCAAAATTCAAGAAACGTCAGACTGAATCATTGTTTATGTATGTGTTAAGTATGAGAGAGTGTGTGAATGAACAAGTGAGAACGAGAAGAAACAAACAACATTTTAACAAGTGTCATTTTTTGACGAAATTAAGCGTACCTTTTAGAAAGCCAATCGGGCCGCAGTTTGCCCATGGCTGGCTGAGATTCTTCAAAAGAAAAAGAAAAAAATTAGAAAGAAAATGAATCATTCAACTCTTTTAATCCTTCAAACCAACTTGGCGTCAAAGATTCAAAAGATTTCGAATTGCGTCTACGTTGTATTTGGTTTGGTTTGGTTTGTTTTACGGCATAGCAACCCTAAAGGGTTATTGAATTCAAACTCGACAAGGCCTTAGAAACGAGGAGAAGTTATGAACAATTAAGAGAACAACAGGAGTAAAGGCAGACAAAAAACGTCGACGTGGTCCGAACGAAAGAGGGGAAAACTAAAAAATACTCTCAGACAGAAGAAACCAGAAG